AATTGGATTCACAAATGCCTGATCGAAAGTTGTAAATGTTAAAGAGATATTCACAGATCTTTTTTTTAAATGTGAAAATATTTAGCGTATTTGCAGATCCGTTTTACACTTGCACATTTATTTGTGAGTTTGCAAATCTTTTAAATGCATTTGTGGATGGTGTTTTACATTTACAAATCACATATTTACACACAAATTATTTTTATGTTCACACAAATAATTATGAGACATATTTATGCCCATAGAATTTAAACAAAATTGCATGTCAACAGCGCTGCCACCTTATGGTTAGTTTGTTATTTTATGGCAACAACAGAAGTAGGACACAAGGAGTTTCTCTCCCAAACACTCCCCCCAACCTTAAATGCCTCCATTTGACTCCTTTGCTATCCGTAACATAATCACATCACTATGTAACACTGATAAATACATTGCAGGTGATTTGCTAAGGGTCGTGACATTTTTGACTGATTTCAAAGCCGTTGACCAATCAGAACAGAGCTGGCCAACTAAAAAAAGAAGGAAAAAAGGAGAAACAAATATGAACCTGATAATGAGCATAATATGTCCTCTTTAATTATTCCTTCCTAAATTCACATTAACACACTCATTTCTCATGCCCCTCCCAAAAAAAGGCCTTTCGGCTTCACATTCATGCCCCAACAACAGGGCATGTCTAGATTCTAGTTTAAACATGCCCAATCGTGAAATCGTAGGGTGTCACCCAACGTGTGAATTACATTCAATTAATGATACATTAGATTCATGTTCACTTCAGGAACGTTTCCGCCTCTCAGTTGTCAGCTCTATTATCACACATTTATGACAGCATGCACAGTGATTGTATCCCTGTCTGGTTGATGTAGAAGTTCATCCTGATGGACAACCCCAGCAAACTGTACACCATCATCCAGGAAGACCTGCCAGCAGCCAACGGGATCATACACATCATCGACCAGCCAATGACCAACACTCTCTCTGACCGGTCCCTTCGTGATGAACAGGTGAGGTTAAGGATCACAAAAACTTCCTGAAAACAGGAAAATATTTTGTTTACACTGAGATTAACCAGAACATATTTGAATCAAAGAAATAACAGAACATGGAAAATATTGCCTCAAAGAAATGCTACATTAAAACATAAATGTTCATAATTTAAGAATTTCTGGTGCTCAGTATTTTAGTTTAATTAAAACGTTATTAATTAACCTGCCCAGTTAAATACAAAGCCTTATATGAAAGTGAATGTCAGTTTTTGGATCTTCTTCTTCTCGTGTCCAGTTTGCTGATAAGACAATCGGAGAGATTCTGACAAAGGATGACAAATACAACCGCTTCCTGTCTCTGGTTGATGTGAGTATCTTGTTCTGGCCAATCACATCACACACAGACGATATGTTTTATTCTAAGAATTCAGTCAAACCTTCAAAAGTCAGGAGACAATCTCCTGATTCTCCTTTCCCAAAAAGCAATGGTCCACTTATCTAAGAAACCATAACACACAGGCACATGACACATGCAGTATTGTAAAAATTAAAGATTGTTGTGTGGGAAAACTCTAGTAAATCAGCATTTTGTGAGTCACTAAGTTATTGGATTAAATGGGATATGATATGTCTGTGTGTGTTTTTAGAACTGCGGGTCACCACCACCCTTGCGGGGTCTGGGTCCTCTGACTGTGTTCGTCCCTTCAAACGACGCTGTGGACAAATCCAGAGACGGCAGCATCTTGTACATGCTGAATTCAGTAGGTCTAAGTATTTCATTAGTGTAGACAAGAACAAACATTGTGTAAGACAGAATTCAAATACTTGACTTCCAAAACCATTGGTATGATATAGATCTTAAAGACTGGCTCAGCACTATTTAGTGTAATGAAAAATTGAAAACAGGCTCAGTATTTTTCTAACATACAGTAATGTCAACATCGACCCCAGTTACCAAGTGTGAGCCCTTCAGCCATCATTATACTTTATGTGAGGATTATCAGGGATTTTTAATTATATTCTTCTCTTTTTCTAGGCCAAATATAAACTGCAGGAACTTCTCAGGCACCATGTTTTCTCCAAGGCCGGGGTAAGACGACCCCCACTCGACACTTCAGTCCTTCCTGTGTCTGTCCTCCTTTCTGCCTTTTGCTTTGCTTTCAAATATGGCCAAGAAAGAAATGCCTTTTGGTTCAAAGATTTGGTGAACAGACATCTTCTTAACAGATCTACACAGTCTTTTCTTAAAAGCAAATTGTAATTTCCTGATCGAAATTCTTGCTTTACAGAGAACGAACCCTTTAGATTCAATGTCGACGTGATCTTTCCTTTAACACCACCCTCAGAAAAACAACAACTTCACTGCTGTTAGGGCACTAGGAATAGCTAAATTGTCATTTTTGTTTGTCCTGTCAAGAAAGAAATATACGGTTTGGTTAAATTATTTTTCTGTGTGTAGCTGACAGTCGCCGAGTTGGCTACTCTCCCTCAGATTCGTACGATGGCCAATCAGATTGTCACCATCACTGTGTCCGAAGATGTAAGTGTATCCGAATGGTTCTTATCAGCCTCTCATAATTTGCATTGATTCCTGGCTCATTTCCATTAACACAAGGCACCTCTTCCTTTTTCCCCCGTTAGGGTGCGATCCTTCTGGGGGAGAAGGGCATCCGTCTGTCGAGCACCAACATCATGGCGTCCAACGGAATAATCCATTTGATTGATGGGCTTCTCTTCCCGCCCTCCATCCTCCCCATCTTGCCTCACCGCTGTGATGTCACAGAGAGCAAGATCACTGTGGTGAGCATCACAACACAATAATAAATAGAGTACATTTTCATTGTACCTGGAAATGCAGTAAATTATTATCCGATATATAGGGTGGCCAAAAGGTGCAAACGCGCTACACCGGCCATGAACTTTTTTATAGGCGAAACGCAATGCAGCTTCAGAAACGGTGCAAAAACAAAATATGCAAAAAGACATGCAAATGAAGAAACCTCTTTACCAACTTTAGCTACTAAAAGAGCTGCATTAACAAAACGCTGCAAATACAAAACGTGTCACGGCTGTACAAGGAGTGGACTCAAAAGCACGGAGGCAGACACAGGATTCAAGTACAAAATTTTTTTACTTGAAAAGCAGATACCGTACAAAAATACATACAATAAAGAATCTACACTAATGCTTACCTAACAAATAACTAGAAAAATACTACTACCTGATCTTACCTTACTATAACTATATACACTGTAACGACGAGACGCCGTTACTTGAGCTCATGTGGATATAATCATTGTACTGTGTGGGGTATATTGACGACAACTTCCCTGTTCCCCATGTATGTTGTAGCTGATTGTGGGCACCTGGTGCCCTGTGTTTAATTGCTCCCCCTCACCTGTGTTTAATTGCTCCCCCTCACCTGTGTCTAATTGCTCCCCCTCACCTGTGTCTTGTTAGCCTGTGTATTTAAGTGCTGTTTCTTGTTGGAGTGGTAGGGTGTGTGAGATCCTGGTGGCTGCAGGCTGGGCTCACGTGAACAGCAGCAGCAGCAGGATTGAGGCTGTGTGTCATATGTTCATGTTTTAATAAATGCCCACACCGGGTTATATTTTTGGACGTTCTGCCTCTGCCTCCTTGCTTGGTCGGGCCGCTCAACGGTCGGTCTCACATACACGGACAATGACTGTAACGATAACTATATGCAAATAGGATAACGCTGGAGAGTTCGGCATAAGACAATCTGGCAACAGACAAAGGGAGACAGGACACTATATACATATATGTAAGTGGGCACAGGTGGAAACAATCGGGGGCAGGGCAGACACTGACGATGGCGGAAAAACAACCAAGGCAGGAAGTAAAGGATCGAGGAACGAAACAAGGGCTGCAGTTGAATAGTCCAAAAATCAGCTCCTAACGTCTAACCCTATCGTCTATTCCTTGAACTCTGAGTGAAACGTCACAGGGTTAAGGGATAGTGGATAGGAGAATTCAAAAGGACTTACGATGCACATGTTTAGCCGAGTTGGTGAATATATTTCTTCAATTGCATGTGTTTTGGCAAATTTTAGTTTTTGCATCATTTCTGAAGCTGCAATGCGTTTCTCCTAATGGAAACGTTTTGGGCTGGTTTGCACCTGACGGCAACCGTATATTTGATATGACACTGATCTATTGGATGGATAAAAAAACCATCTGATGAACCAAATAAAAAAGGGGCTTTTTAAGTGTGGAAAACCTGATGGTAACTCTGATAAATCTACCTGGTACGTGTCTAAGTTACTTCCTTTTTCTAGCAGTGAAGTCAATATGGACAACATTTATTTGACCAGCATCACCAGATTTATAATCTTCATGCGGAAGGAAAGGATATGTGGATAGAAAATAAAGGTATCAGTAATGCTAACAGTAGAAGCTATGCATTTATTGTTCTCTGGTTGTGTGTTTCTAGGGTCCATGTGTTCACTGCAGTTACCTCTTTGAGACTGACTGTCCAGAAGGCACCACTGAATTGGTAAAATACCTAATTATTATTCTACAGAAACCCCTTGTCGCATACTTAAGACAAAAACTGTTGATGTCTAAGTCTGTGCAAACTAGTTTTTAAATAGCATGGTGAGTTTTACAACTATAAGGTGAAAAGTATGGAGGTGTATGTTGATGTAAACAATGATCAGAATCAGAATACCTTTATTAGTCCCACAGAGGGGAAATGTACGTAGTTACAGAAAAAAGAGCCACAGACAGCTTAATGTTACCTATGTTACATGCATTAAAAAGTACTAAGTTATGATATAATACAAAAATAATAATATTTAAAAAAAAAACAGTTACATAATTTTCAAAATACACATCCTTTAACAGTTATAAGGACTTAGCAGCCAGGTATATATTACATAGTTATTAACGGCATATATATATATATTGCACATACAGCACATATTGCACGTACTTGGTTGGTATTTAACAGCAAGATTTGTGATGTGACTCTAAACCTTTAGAAAAAAAGGGAAGAGTGTTAGAACATTTTATGCATATGTTATATGTTATATATAACCACTGGATGAAAGTATAAATTGTAATAAGGTCAGAAAGATGTAATACTATAACACCTTTCATAAATGAAAGCATAAATTAGACAGAGAGCCATAGCAATAAAAAGCAAACCCGCTTGTTTTCAGTATGTAAGTATGGGAATGTAAACTGTTTTCTTAGACCATATGTCATTCTGTGCTTTAATCATCCTGATGTGACAAATAACCACTGTATAACACTTTAAAATAAATAAATAATTAGATACAATCGCTTTTGTTCTGGTTGCCAGATGCTTATTCCAGAAATCTTCATCAAAATCCTGCCTTTGTTTCAGCTATTTTGCACAGATATTTTATAAGAATTCTCTATCTGTTGAAACCTGGCTGGTAGAAGACATGGGCGAGATCATAAAACCATCAAATCTGTGTGTCTGTCTCCAGGACTCTCATCAGACCGGCTGTACTTACATAGTGTCTCGCCTCAACACCCAACTCAGTTCAGGATGTGCCAAATTCTGCAACGCCACCAACACGGTCAGTTTTATTTCCAGCTTTCAATAGCTGATAGAGTCAATAGTTTAGAAGAAATGGTGGAATTATCCTTTATCTATGTCTATTGTGTGTGTATTTTACAGGTAGCACAGTGTTGTAAAGGTTTTTATGGTCCGGACTGTAAACCCTGTATCGGAGGATTCGAGCACCCTTGCTATGACAAAGGAGCGGTGAGCATTACACACACAAGCAAACTCTGACTCTCGAGCCACCTTTCTCTACTGATGATTTATCATTTTTTTATTTTTTGCCACATGCAGTGCTTTGACGGTATCCAAGGCAACGGGTCGTGCAGCTGTCAGTCAGGCTTCAAGGGTGTCGCCTGCCACATCTGCGCAGATCCATCCAAGCACGGAGAGAAATGTGACGAAGGTAACAGCTCCTCCTCACTTTGAGAGAGTTCGTATATTCATACACGCAGACTTCAACTGTAGTTATTGAGTATGTAAGTCGCTTTGGATAAAAGCGTCTAACAAGTGACATGTAATGTAATGTAATGTGACATTATCCCACTATTAAACTTAAATCATCACATGGTGTGTGTTTTTGCGTGTCCCTAGAGTGTCGCTGTGTCCACGGTGTGTGTGATAACCGTCCAGGCAGCGCTGGTGTGTGTCGGAGAGGATCCTGTCTAGAGGGATATTCGGGAGAACACTGTGACAGGACGGCCACGCCCTGCAACTCTGACGGCCAGCAGGAACACTGCCACATCCACGCATACTGCACACACACGGGACTGGAGAACAAGTAAGATACCATGTTAATTTGGAAACATCTTTTTATTTGTTGTTAAATTCTCAATGAAAAAGTGAGTATTAGTTTGGATCTCATTAAGGTACTTTATTTGATCCATAAACAGGTAACCCATTTATTCTTAGTTTTTATCTGGTGTTTAAACCAAAATTGAGATATCTAAACAGCTCCAGGATGGATTGCCATGACATTTTGTAGAGACATTCCACCAATGCTAGAGGAATACTACAGATTGTCTCTAGTGCCACGAAGAGGTTCACATTTTGTTCAACACTGATGTCCTCTAGGAGGATGTTATCTAGCACCAACGGAGGATAAAAGCTGAATACAATCCTTGAAGCGATATAGTGCAGCTCTGCACGATCCAGTGTTGTAGTCAAGTCCCCGCTCCAAGTCCGAGTCACCCAAGAAGAGTCAGTCGAGTCTGAGTCATCATTACCTGTGCTCGAATCCGAGTCCGACTCAGTCACAAGACTGAGTCGTCATGTATCAATCTGAGTGGATATATTTGTTTGAATGTAGCTGTTGGTTTGGTTCTTATCAATCAATATTTGTTGTTGTCTAAATGCTTTTATCCTCTTATTTTCTGCATTACTTTTATTCTGTCTATATAACTACTTTGGGCTGCAATTCTTGTATGAAAGGTGCTTTACAAATATTATTATTATTATTAAGTTTTGGTCGAGTTCCAAGACTGCCTTCAAAAAGCTTCTTCACAAATACAAACGGTCTACATTCAACACAATGACCCACTGTCAGTATTTCAGGTTGTCTTGCATGCAAGAAAAGAGAGAAAGGGGATGAACAAAGTAGTTTGAAAGAGAAGTGTCCAGTTTAGTTTTATGTATTACATAAATGTGTGCTCATTGTTAACCTTGGAGAACCCGCAATAAATGGATGTTTCCAACGGCACCCAGTTCATCTTTTCTCTGTGATAATAGTCCGGAGGGCTGGTTACCAGCTGACAACGAGCCACGTCAGAATGTGGCGGTGAGCATCCAAACTATGGTTTAGGAGCCGAGATACCGATAGTAAAGAATGTAACAGAACTTTTGCTCATGACATTTGACGTTGTCCCGGTTTTTTCCTCAAGCGTCCTTTGACAGAAGCATCTGTCAAAGCACACAGCACGGGGGATTTGCGGGGGGGGGGTCTCGCCTCGCAGCTGCACAAGCCTGGGGATGAGTACATCCAGACTTGAGACAAAATTTGTCAGTCCAATCGTCAATGTGTGTGTCTGAGTTCGAGTCCATCACTGCGGGAGACCTAGTTAAGTCACGAGTCCCGCAAATCGGCACTCGAGTCCGAATCGACCCAACTCTAATAATATGATATTCTTATACCTATTACTGAATTTAGAACAGCTTACCTGCCTTGTTAACTCATATTTAAACACACTTTTTTGAAATTGGAAATAAACTAAATTAAACTCAACAATCACCGACTTTGGTTTGGTCAAAATCCTTTATTCTCTGAGTTAGATGTAGAAATGTGTTGGTCCCACACACTGTTTTCACAGCTCTATCTCACTGTCATTTCTTTGGTGGCAGACTATTAAATTAGACAAAAGTTTTGGAGAAATCCCAGCACTGCAGCTCTTTCCTTTCCGATGTGTAATCAGAGAGCAACATTTACAGATCAACAAACCTATGAACAGGTGAACAACCCCGTCCCTCTTCTGTTACTTGAACAGCTACTGAGTTTGTCCATCATCAATCTGTGTGTGTGTGTGTGTTGCACCAGGTGTTGGTGTCGGGATGGATATGATGGTGACGGTCACTCCTGTTCTCCCATCAACCCCTGCCTACTGAGCAGCCGAGGAGGCTGCAACACCAACGTAAGTGTGTGTGTGTGTGTGTGTGTGTGTGTGTGTGTGTGTGTGTGTGTGTGTGTGTGTGTGTGTGTGTGTGTGTGTGTGTGTGTGTGTGTCTTCTTCTACAACCCCCATATCCTAAATAACAAAGTTGGTATAAAATAATTAAAGACACATTTGTACTTTGTTTACAATAAGAAGTTGAGAGTTCACTGATGTACTCTGGTGAGTGGCCATGAAAGATTGGATTATATTTGAAAATGTATAATACAAACATTCCATCTGCCCATCTCCCTCCTGCTCAACAGGCAAGGTGTGAGTATGCGGGTCCAGGTAATGCGTCATGTGTGTGTGCTGAGGGTTGGACAGGTGACGGCAGAGTGTGTGTGGAGATCAAAAACTGTCAGCTGAAGCGTCGAGGAGGCTGCAGCCCCAACGCCGACTGCAACCACATCGGACCTGGACAGGTCAGTCGCTAACGGTTAGAGATGTATAGAAAGCGTCCGTTAATAATTATTACATGAAAGCCTCTTTTTTGTTGTTTTGTGTGTTTTTGTAGTCATTTTGCTTTTTTTTTGTCATTTAATTTTGTTGTCTCCCTGTTTGGGCTGTTCTGTCCCCTCATCTTTCTAAAGTCAACAGTTTTTCAACCTCAGTTTTTCCTGAAATATTTAGATTTTTGGTCTCACACCTCTACTTTATCAAATGTAACAATCCATATCAATCCCATCAAATCAATCATGTGTCACTACACTATCACCCAGACCAAGATTATTATTTTATTCTCATTATCTCCCATTGTCTGTATGATGTATGAAGAAGTTGATAATTAGCTGTCTGACTGTAAGGCAAGGCAAGTTTATTTATATAGCACCTTTCAACACAAGGCAATTCAAAGTTTTTTACAAAAATGAAAGACATTAAGAGCATTAAGAAACATATTATAAAATGATATCTAGAAACACTCATTTAAAAGCAATGATTTAAAATGACATTTAAAAACACTCATTTAAAAGCAAAGATAATAAAAGTTACAGTGCAGTTTAAGATATGAGTATATCAATTAAAAGCAGTGGCAAAAAGAAAGTCTTCAGCTTGGATTTAAAAGTAGTAAGAGTTGCAGCGGTCCTGCAGGTTTCTGGGAGTTTGTTCCAGATATTTGGAGCATAATAACTAAACGCTGCTTTTCCATGTTTAGTTCTGACTCTGGGGACAGAAAGCTGACCCGTCCCTGAAGACCTGAGAGTTCTGGATGGTTCATAATTTAGCAGGAGGTCACAAATGTATTTTGGGCCTAAACCATTCAATGCTTTATAAACCAGCAGCAGTATTTTTGAAATAAATTATCTGACACAGGAAGCCAGTGTAAAGACTTCAGAACAGGAGTGATGTGATCCACTTTCTTAGTGTCAGTGAGGACTCGAGCAGCAGCGTTCTGAATTAGCTGCAGCTTTCTAATGGATTTTTTAGTGAGACCTGTGAAGACACCATTACAGTAGTCGAGTCTGCTGA